TATATATATATATTGTAAATCGTCCTATTATATATAATTTTAAATGATGCTAATAGCATAATTATTTATCAACAAATAGTCTCATAAATGTTTGATCTTGAGTTGGTTTGGTTAATTTTTTTTTAAATGTTTCTTTTTAATAAAATAAACACTACTTTACTTTTTATACGTTTGTTTAAACTTTTTTTTAAAATAAATAATCTTTATTTTATTAAAAAAACAACTATTATCTGCTTATTAAAAAATTATCTCTTTTAAAAGCATTTATTTAAAAATACTTGTTTTTAAAAATTATTAGAGTTAGCTTATTGATTAAATGAGGAGGGATTGAAATAGTTAGAAACATGAAACTTAAACTCAATTTTTATTGCGATCATCTTTGTAATCTTTCATATCTTAAAAAAAATACTTATTTTTAAGTTTAAATAAATAGACTAAAAAAGTTCAAAATAAATTAATAAAAAAGATTTCTCATAATGATTTTTTAAAATTTTTATGTATCAATCATTTAAAAAAAAACTATCAATGTAAAGGTAAAATTATGTTTGAGTTAGATATAATTATTATGAGTTAATTTTCTCTTCGAATTATTTAAGGGCATGTGCTTATCTAGAATTCAAACTCATTTAACAGATTAAATATTTTAAAAGTATAAACAATATGATTTTATAAACTCTTATTTTAAATGATGTTATTTTATTATAATTACTTCAAAAGGCTTTTCAATTTCTCATTGTAAAACATTTTCTTTATTATTGTTATTATTATTACTATTACTGAAAAACACGTGTCATTTAATACATTAATATTGCTAAAAACCTAAAGAGTTAAACAGCAAATGGATACTGTTAAGATTAGATCGTCGCTATATTAGTTTTTTAAATTATGTGCTAAATTAAAGTGTTATTTCGTTGTTGTTTATGAGTTTTTTTTTTTATTAAATTAATCTCTTAAAGAAATAAAATTAGCATTGAATTTAACTTTCACATTATTACTTAAGTGTTTTATATAAGGACCTGATTCAATTAAAAATTAACATTATATTTGAAAATAAAATTATACCTAATTTCATTTTCAAATTTTGGTGTTTAGTATGTTATATCTTAAAAATACAGAGCATGATTATTGATTAGTGAGCACGATATTTCACATTACTTAAATAAAATCGAGAGATAAAATCAAATATGCCTTTTTACTTGCAAATTGGGCATTCCCATAATTCCTTTTCATCTCGTGCATCATATTTTGGCATCTGTTGGATCTGTAAGCTATTTGACTTTAAATATAGTGTACTGTCATCCCTCACCTTCCACTGTCATGGTGACAATCCGCCATCAAAATGGACCAGCTATCATTATTCACCATCCTTCTTCATGCGTGACATCATTATCATAACAACTCAAGATACAGCGGACATATATTCAGGAAGGGCATTATGCAATAATATAAATTCTCAAGGGGAACAACAAATCTTGTGTAGCACCATAGTTTCACAGAACCTTTATTTGAAAGAAATGTGAAGAACAGTACAAATCAATTGTACTTTCTGCAACATGCAACAGGACAGCAGATTAAATGGGGAAATTCAACAAATTCATCCCTTTTCACTTATAATGCTTTTGGCAAGTCCAGCAACACTGCATTAAAAAAGAGAATATAAAATACGAGTTTAGAAGCTGCAATTCCCACTAAAAACAAACTTGAAAAGACTGAAAAAAAAAGATTAACAAACAAACTAAATTAAGGGAACAACAAAAGTCTTTTCCCATTTAAGGTCGACTACATAGATCAAACGAAGTCATAATGTCCTGTTGTAAATCATACCTAATGACAAACCATTTAAATCTGATATTTTTTAATGGTTTGACCTATAGTTTTTTCCTCTCCCTCTACCTCTAAATATTGTACTACCCTTCCTCTAATCTTCTTTCCTTATTGGGCCATGTACAAGTTCCCTCCACACATCCAAACTACTTCAGGCGAGATTTACCATCTTTTGCACGATAGATGTTACCCCAACATCCGTCATAATCAGATAAATTTCTCTATTGGAAATTTCAATAAATAAGGTAAAATGAATTAAACTTCTCAAGTTCGAACCAACTTGGGTAACTCAGCTTTAGCAGAAGAAGTTAAATGGGAGAGCTGCTATAATAGTTGAAGTGCCGGTGCATAAGTTAACTACAACATGTGAAATAAGTTTAATTCATTTACCAACTTATTTTCTTCTACTAAGAATGATATAAAGAAGTTTGCTCTATCAAGACCTTCCTAATACTCTCTAATGTAATGGCTCCTAATTCTATATTGTCGTATGTGTGAACACATATTGTAATACTTGTTAGGCAACTGGCATTAAAAGAGAGAATAAAAGGATGGCAATTTGACAAGAAAACCTTGCATAATGGCCTTACCAATGAAATCACTTTCACTCATAAAGAAAATAAGTTTGTACTTCATCCTTTGTTTCCTTCACAAGTGATAGAGGATCAAGTACAAATGAAATTAAAAAGAGAAGAAGAAAAAAAAAAGTTGAGCAAAAAAGAAAAGAAGCATAAATCTTCAAAGAAGAAGAAGGAAGAGAAACCTCTTCCAATAGAAGGAATTCAACAAGAAGAAATTTTAAAACAAACTTTACTTGTTGAAAAGCCTTCTTACATTCTTCTTTGTAGGGGTATGCTTAGTTGTCATAATTTAAATCTTGAATCTAGTTCTCTACCACTTGGTGTTTCAAAATTATTAAAAGAATTTGATGATGTATTCCCTAGTAAGGGTCCAAAGGGCCTTCCACCTTTTAGGGGTATAGAACATCAAATTGATTTTGTGCCTGGGGCAAGTCTACCCAATAGACCAGCCTATAGGACAAATCCACAAGAAACCAAGGAGATAGAGAACCAAGTTCAAGAATTGTTGGACAAGGGGTGGGT